GCTAGATGAAGCAGCTTTTGTTGGCGCGGTCGTACATAAGCGTGCGAGTATGGTGAAAGGGTGTTTGATTATAGGCATCGACGGAAACATTGCGCACCATAGAATGCTTGATTGTTCTTGCCAAATTACCGCTAAACCGGCTAAATACAAACTCGAATTCGTGCAACGTGCTAATTAGTAAGTAAGAATTTCTTAGGAGTTATGGATAGATTGAATAATATAGGAATTATGGGGAGGGTGAGTAAGATTTGTAAGAGTTTTTTGTGGTACCATTTACCTGATAAATAGAAATTGCATTTTTCATTTTACTTATTGTTAAATATAAAAATAATAATACACAGAATAATTTTTCTTGCTTCGCAAAATCTTAATTAGTCGCAATTAGGGTTGTAAGGTGATATAATGGGAATTATGTATTTATTTTTACATGTTTTTGATAAAAAGGCATAATATTAAAGAAATATAGTTTTTTTAGAAATGGAGTTCGAAGAAGAATTGCCATAGGTAGCGACTCACGAAAGCGAATTAAAATAATGTTCGTTTAGGGCGTCGTAGGTGGGGATCGAGAGTTTGGGGTGGATTGGGGATATGGGGATGTAGCTGGAACAAACGCAAAACTTCGAGTTGATAGTCCGCCCATGGTGAATCGGGATTTTTAGAGAAATATTGATTTAACAATTTGAATATATATATATATATATATATCCAAAATATATTATATATATATATTCTTAAATATTATAGAGTATATTTAATTTAAATTATTAGTTGTATTTATTGATTTTTAGAAGTATATATTATATGTTTTTATTACATACTAAGATATTTTTAAATAAAATTATTATTAAAATATATATTAGATTTGTATATTTGAAATTTATATAATTTTGTTTAAAAATTATAAAATATTATATATAAATTAATTAATATCGAAATATATATTTGGTATTTTATAAACAAAACAAATATAATAATAAATAATTAATATATTTCATATATTTTAAATATTTTTTGAAAATATATATAATATTAAACAATCTCCGATATTTCCAATAATAAATTAAAAATCAATATGAGGAAAATAAATCTTAATATAATCAAATATGATATATAATGACAAAGAAA